AGTTGGTGCGTCAACACCTCAGCTATCAGCTGAATAAAACGAAATGAGCAATGCTTTAGTAAAATGAACAAGTAAGTTTTAAAAAAATTTCCCTTTAATAATTAAGAGAGTTTTGACAGGTATGCAGGATAGGTAAAATATTTTGATGAAAATTTAGGTAATCTGAACCTTGGTCGAAAGTAAAAATGATGCAGAAAAATATCAAAGTAGAGTTAATAGTTTTTATTGAACAAATAAGAAAATTACTAGTTTTAAAGAAAAGAAATTTATTTCTAAGTCACGGATGAAAAATAAAAAATAAAAAATAGTGACTAGGTTAGTTGATGAATGTTAATAAAAATTTTAGACGCATAGTCCCATCTAGTTCATCGTACCCGACGAGGCGTGACACAGTGGACCATTCCCTTCACCTTATTTTTTTCAATATTCAACTTTCCGACATTTCAATATTTTTGTTTTCATATCCTTATATTTCGACGTTTTCCTTGCGATATTTTTCTTTCTACCAAAGTTCAGAGAATCAAACTTTAGGTGCTGACTTATGATTTTCTAAACTAACTTTTTCGCCGACATTTGCACATGGATTCTAGTTTCGCCATTTCTACTTCATTCGTTAGCGCACGTATATGGAATAGTGCTGAAAATTCTTTTCAACTGTTATCAATTTTCTATAGATGATTGATAGCAGTCAAGAAGAATTCTCAGCACTATTCCATATACTTGCGCTAACGAATTATCGCGTGAAGAATCGTTAAATTTATTTAACGCGCTTTAATAAGTTAATTATAGAAATTTAACGCGTGTTTACGGTCAAAAAGGTAACATATTTAATCGTTAAGTCGTTAAATTTTTAATGATTTTTTACGTAAGGATGCTTCGTTAAATCAATAAAAACTTTTTACATGGGAATCGTACCCATGGGATTCGAGACGTCAATAGAGAAAGCCTTACAAAGTTCAAACTATAGTCATCGTTTTTATTGTTACTAAATGATTGATACATTCGTCATTCTTAATTTTAACGCAGATGATCAATGTGGTGTGATATTTCTAATATCTTAATCATAAGACTAATTGATAGTTTCCATTCATTCGAATGGAATTTCTTTGCAATAAATATAACATTTAATTATATCCATCTCATAAATTAAATGTATGCTTGGAAAAACTTTCAACAGCTAAATATGTCTAGAAACGCTTAATCTTTTATTGAAACCTATATCTTCAGGTTAAAAATCATTCACTATGATTTTTCTGTATTATCTATAAACAGTTTAAGTTGAAAAGCAGGACATTTAGCATTTCTACATCGAATATTTCTTAAATTTCGCTGTCTTCAACTTTATTAGTCTAATAATGTTGTAAATACAATATACTTACATAATAAATTGTATTAGAGAGTACGATTGTTTTCTGTTATACTTGCAATGGCTTGTACACTGCATTTATCGCTGACGAAATTGTTCGGTTTGTTTCTCACTTACTTCTGTTTAACTGAATCCACGAACCATGCCATTTTCAATAAGTAAGCAGTGTTTTTTCATGTATGCGATCGTCACCATGGAGCTGTTTTCTCTTCCAGTCGTCTTTCTATTATTTTTTCTTACTTTCGTTTTGAAGTTGTTGTGATCAAAACAAAAATATACATTGATGTATGCGTAAACAAATCACATTTGAATCTCGAGGTTTCTTTTTTTAACGAGAACAAGAACTCGTGATTTACGATCGGTTAAGATAAAATGAAACATTATTCAAGTATTGTAGATCAATTGAACTCTAATCACGGCAGAAAAAATGCATGGCAAAACATTCGAAGCTGACCTCATGGAAAAATAAAATATATCTCTTCTCATAGTTTGAAATCAATAGAGTTGAAATACAATCATGAAAACGATTCATCTAGCTTTTAAAAATCTGAAATACTTTCAGACTTGTTCATTAATATCCTAGAATTAATATGAGAGTATGAGGTAAACCTGAATATAGTTCATGTTACCGATTTTTATACTAATTCAAATATGAAATTTGCTTGAGTACGAGGTAAGTATTAGCGATAATGATTTTTGATGGAATTAAATCGGCAGTTTTTAATATTTTAGTTTTTACGTAATTCTCGAAATTTTCGACCTTATTATAACTCTACATGATGGTGAAAGTGATCTAGATGATGGTGAAAATGATCCGAATGATGGTGAATTTGATCTAAATGAATTATATTGTAACGGTCATCATCAGTAAGTTTACATCATTTGAGACTTTAATTATAAATTCAAAGTAATTGCAGTATTAAAGACTTGAGCTTACAAATAAGAATAATGCATTACATACATTTATACTTTATATTAATCAATTTTATTAGTTAGTTATTTGTTAGTGTATATTCGTATTATATATCAATACTAATATCAATACTAAATATTGACACTTGGTACTTGTACTTGATATTTGTACTTGATATTCGTTATATATATGTTACAGTTGACATGAGAATTTAGTTGAGATTGGAATAATAGATTTAATTAAAGATAGAGAAAATAGACACAAAAGAGAGCGAAAAACGAACAGAAGAAAACAGTTTTGAAAATCAAAATGCAAATAAAATTATATGAGCGATATGGAAATTTTTTTCTACGAGTTAGATTTAGTACACTATTTTCTAATTGATCATAATTTAGATTTCTTTTTTAAATTGGTGACCANCTGAATATGTCATCCTCATAATTTATGTCAATATAACAGAGCAAGATAATTGAATTACATAAAGTAATAAACAGAGTTAACATGATCCAATTAATTCTCGCTACTATAATTATGTTACGAGACGTGTTTGTTACGTTAATCTATCACTATCTCAACATGGCAACAATTTCAACCAACGGTACAACAAAAAAAAACCACGTCTAGATTATAATAGCTATTCCTATATAATGGATCGATCTACTAGTGAAAAAACTTACTGGCGTTGCATTAAATATTCACCAAATCGCTGTCATTCTCGCCTACGCACATGTGTTTTAACACATAATATTCTCAAACAACCTACAGAACACATATGCAGAGTTGATGGTACGACACTACAACTTCGAAAATTCGATGAGAAAGTTGCTCATCGTGCTATGAATACTCAAGAAATACCGGATACGATCGTTACCAATTGTTACAAAGGTACACATACTAAATTTTTAGCAGTGAATTTTACTAATATATTTTTCTGTATCGTTATCTCTAGACCTACCTGATCCATCAATTGCTCGTTTAACTGTGCGCGATAATATAAAACGTCGAATAAGAATTTTTCGCCAGAAAAATCAACTAGTAAAAGAACCAAATGATCCGAATTCGCATCTGTTCCCATAGCATTCCCTAAAACTGTGCGTGGGTGTCCATTTATGCGTTGCGTTACAGGTCCAGGTATGTTGCTTGAGACGGCTAATAATATAGATTCACTAATTCACATAATCTTTGCTAATTTAGGTGATGATAGAATATTAATATTTGCAAGTGATGAACAACTTAATATTTTGCAAAATGCACGCGAATTTATCGTCGATGGTACATTTAAAGTGGTACCAGAGATATTTTATCAATTATATATCATTCATAGCGTGCACCGGGATCATGTAATTCCAGTTATCTATGTTCTATTACATCGAAAAAATGCGGATACTTATTATCGTTTAATCAATAAAATACTCAAGTTTGCGCCTCGTTGGTCTCCACGCTCAATCATGCTCGACTTTGAACAAGCTTGTATTGGCGTTTACCAAACAATGTTCCCTACCGTCTTATTGTCTGGATGCTATTTTCACTTAAGACAGAGTATACATCGTAAATTACAGGTAATAAAATGTTTATAATAATCAGGCGATTAGAAATTTTAACGTCATGCTATTTCTTAAATTAGGCACTACGACATAAAAATCAATATGAAAGTGATCCATTATTCGCGCATAATGTTCATAAAATAGCGGCTTTGGCATTTCTGGAACCAACGAACGTCATTAATGGATTCGAACATTTATCAATTGATCTTGGTGATGATTACGAAACAATTCTTGATTACTTTGAAGAAACTTACATCGGTAAGAGATATTTTGATTTTCATGGAAAAAACTCCAGCATATCATTTTTCTAGGATGACTACGACTAAATAATACACGAATAAAAGCTATGTTTGCGATCGAATTCTGGAATATGCACGGCAGGACCACACAATTATCTATGAGAACGAGCAACTCTGACGAAGCTTACAACCGTCGAATAAGCTCTGTCTTCCGATGTGCTCATCCAACACTATGGCTATTTTTGCAAAAACTAATTGGCGAAGAAAATGCTATCCACGCGGATATATTACACATCAATGCTGGACAACCACCAACAAAGAAGAAAGTAAATCAACGTTTCGAAAATCGCGTGATAAATCTTATCACAACTCCTCATCGAAATGTTCTGGCTCAGATCGACTCAATTGCACATAATATCTCCCTGTAAATTTTTGTTCAATATTTCGTTCAAATGTATTTAAATAAATTTGTGTTCAATATTCGTGCTGATCTCTCTTAGTGCTCAAAATTCCGGTGCTGAACTATTCTGGTTCTTATCATTCCATGCGCTGAACTTTCATGTGCTGAATATTCCGTGCTGATCATTCCGTGCTAATCTTTTTCGTGCTCAACTTTCACTGATCCGATTGTGAAGAGAGCTATTTTGATGCTAGCAAAAGTTCAAGATTTTGTAAAAGTTTAGATGAGCATTATAAAATTACGGGAAAACTATCCAATAATTTTACCCTAGTATTTTACGAAGTTTTTCAACCTTTCATTAGACTCATTCCAAAGTAAAAAATCTCACGCAATCGTCATGGACATGTTTTTCTCTTATACAAGATCGTGCAGTCATTCCTGATGAAGTCCTGATGAAATTCTAGAGGATTTCTTTGCGAGATAACTAAATTTTGAGGTTCTTGGATACATTCGTTTTAAGCAACCAATTACAATTCTTTTTCCAAGTTGCTTAGTTTTCTTGTGATTTAGTTATTCTCTATCTGAAGCATCTAATCCATTTAATTCAGTCAGAAAATTTCGTTGAATCCACTTTACATTCTTCTTCTTTTTTGACTTACTAAATTTTGGTATATCGATAGCACCATGCCCCTCTTGTTAAAGGTTCACTCATTTCTAAATAGGTTCAGATTCAATTTCTCAGATTTCTCAATTAGAACATGATTATTTACAAAACTTCAAAAGTATTGGTAATAAAAAACAAACTTTTCTTTCAAATTTGAACAAGTCCCACATTCTCTCGTTGATGATCACACGTACCCATCATGAATGACGGAAAGAATCTCTTCCATTCAGTCATTCATCAAGCTCTGAAAGCAACTGACAGTACTCTTGAGTTACTCTTTATAAATTATCTCGCAGCTTAATTGTCATAATTGAGGTCAATCAACCGTCTCATATACCTTCTCATAATTATTTTACAGCATTCATGATCTCCATAAACGTTTCCAAGTAATTCTTCTGTGGTTGAACTTTGGGTATTTTATTTTCATCAACCCTTTTTTCAGCGGGTTTTTAAAGATTTTATGAGAAGGTTTATCAGGTTTATCAACCTTTTTGAGGGGTTTATGAAAGTGCAACGTGTAGTAAACCCTTTAAGGATTGATGAAATTTATAATCCCTTTCATAAACCCTGTATTCATCCCTTTTTTTGGGTTTATGAAAGGGTTTATAACGTCTTAATAAACCCTTTAAAAGGGTTTGTGACACGTTGCACTTTCATAAACCCTTTTTTCGTTTTTTATTCTGCGGATATTTTTTACAGTGTATAGGGATGTACCAGTACCAGTATTATACTGGTCTACTGGTCCAGTAAATACTGGTTTTCTACTTTCGAAAATAACTATTAGCTAAATGAGTCGGTTTGAGGGCTGCGCAAGTACGGGTACAACTTGTACTAGCATCTATTACCATCTATTACTCCCCAAAAACCTAGAATTCTAGAATTCATGTATTGGCATGTATTCGTATGTACTCGCATGTATTCTCTTGTACTACTCCCATCTTCCCCCCAGAAACCTAGAATTCTAGAATTCATGTATTGGCATGTATTCGTATGTATTCGCTTGTACTACCCCCATCTTCCCCCCAGAAACCTAGAATTCTAGAATTCATGTATTGGTATGTATTCGCATTTACTCGTATGTAATCGCATGTATTCGCTTGTACTACCGGAGTTTTCCACGAAAAACCTCAGTAATATCAAATTTGACAGATGAATTCAACGGAGTCTTCGACTATCAAGTGTAGAACTTGAAACTTCAGTTTTCAAAGTTCAACTTGTGGTTTCACGTTATTGGCCTTACGCTACAGCCTAATCTTTGGCACATATGTTTGTGTGTATACGAACATATTTCCCTTCACCAGCACCCATATTATGGGTACATATGTGTGTGTGTTGACAAGCGTATCTCCCTTGCCCGGCACCCACATTATGGGTACATATGTGTGTGCGCAGACAAGCATATCTCCCTTCCGCGGCACCCACACCCTTGAAAGCTGAAACTTGAAACTTGAAACTTGAAGTTTCATTTGAATTCAAGTTTCAAGTTCGACATGTATGATTAAGGGAGCACTACTAATGCGATTTTCGGACAGAAGTTTAAAAGAAAGTCAGAGAAAATAAAAAAATAAAAAATCAATGACTACACTGGGAAAAAAATAGCACCATACAGAACCATTTTTGAAACGAATTCTAAACCCTCAAAAAGGTTTCGTAAAAGCCTAAGATAGCCTCAAAATTATTATCAAGAGTCCAGGAAACTTTTT